TTGGAACTGTCCAGAATTTGCTAAATGCTTCAGTTTCAAGGACGTGTCTTTGAGGAGTTATAACTTGAAATCCCAGCATTCCTAGTATAAGTTATATTCTGCAATGTTTCAGATCTTGTTGGAGTCCAAAACTCTTGTGTGAGAAGCTCTTCCAGAAACAACTTCCATCATGGTGAAAATCTGGCCAAAAGTTCTGAGTTTATCATATTTCTTAAACACTTAGAAAAAATACTAAGTATTTAGAATTTTGACTTTTCCAAGGTAACTTTGACTTTTGAATTTCTTGATGAAACAAGCTTCATATCTCAACATGTCTTGATGAAATATGACTCTTGAAACTTGATTTTGACCCAAAAGTCAAAGTTTGACTTTTTTTAGTATGCAAATGACCATTTTGCCCTTGTGAATGACTTTCTTGGAAAAATTTGTAATTCAAGGCTTGGAATTGGATGGAAGCAAACCTGAGGGTCCAGAACGATCCTTTGAGAAATGAGAGGGCAAATTTTAGGGTACAACACCTTGCATTTGAAGAGATCTGACATTATAATGAATTGGGAGACAAGAAGTGAAGTTAAGGGTTTCTTAGCCAAGTTTCTGTTGGAGAAGGCTCATTCATTCTGGGAGGATATGGATTTTCAAGCTTTTGAAGATGTCTTGGCCCTTCTAATATATGGTTTGGTTCTATTTCCCAATTGGGACCAACTCATAGATGTGAATGTCATCAAGGTTTTTCTCTCTCGCAATCCCGTACCTACCCTGCTTGGAGACATTCTACATTGTTTCCACACTCGCACTATGAAGAAAAGAGTTACTCTTTTATGTTGAATTACCTTACTCTCTAGGTGGTTTATTTCGCACCTACCTCGATCAACATTGAAGAATGAGCAAGGCTTGACATGGTCTCAAAGGATGATATCACTCACACATTCTGATATTCATTGGTGTTCTCGATCCTTGGAGAACATTACTATCATCGACCGTTGTGGGGAATTCCCTAATGTCCCTCTACTTGGAATTAGGGGAGGTATTACCTACAACCCTTATTTGGCTTTACGACAGTTTGGGTATGCACGAATAGATGGTCCATATGATGCACTCATCCAAGGTTTGGTATTCGATTACGAGGGAGACAACCAAGGCTATCGTCAAAGGTTCATACGAGCTTGGAGAATGATAAACAAAGTATATAGTAAGAAATTGTTACATAAGAATTCCACGCCCTTGAGCCTTACCTTAAGTGGGTACGAACTCATGCTCAAAGTCTCGTGATGCCTTACCCCGCCATCTTACCAATCATCATGGAGCCTGTTGTCGAAGGAGATGTTCCATATACTGTCCTTTATCCTGATATGCCTACTTCTCTTGAAGATTTGCAAAGATATTAGATTCAACTCAAAGGGGAAGGAGACACCTTTGAAACCTAGTTCTATGCAAGCGAGAAGAAGGTTCTGGAGATCATGAGACAACTCCATGAAGATCAGAGTTTGAATGCCTACATTGCACCGAAGAGGATGCGCTTGTGGGAAGCTTGCTTTCTTTTTGTTTTAGAAAGTTTATGTTGTAAGAAATTTGAACTTATTAATAGAATTAAAGTTTTTTCCCTTATAATAAACTAAAAAATGAAGGTGATACAGGTGAAAGTTGTAGCCAAAGTTGTAGACGTCCTGCAAATCCTAACATCCAAGAAGTTTCATCTGGATAACGAAACTTCTTCCTATCTGTCGGAACCGGGGGTAAGGGGAATCCCTCTTTTATGTTTACCTAATTATTTAAAAATAAAGTAAAATTAAATAAAGTAAAATTAATTCAAAGTAAAATTAAGTAAAGTAAAATTAAGTAATTTCATATATTAACAAAAATAAAGTAAAATTAAGTAAAGTAAATTAATTATCCGAACCCAATGGTCATTGTTGACTAAATCAATGCACCAAATACTTGGAGTATGTGAAGGTGAGGTTGTCATAGGAAAAAAAGTCAAGCACGGGTTTCCTAAATGTACAAGAATGACATTATAGTGATTCATTATCAGATAACCCATGTGAGGTAGTGTTAGCCATTTCTCCGGTGGATGTCGACTGGTGGACTCTATCATCAACCTTTCTCTCACTTCTGATAGTCGAACTCCGAATAACTTCTCATACAAACTCTTATTGTCTTATTTCCATGTCCAACTCTCGATGAACCATTGCCCAACCATACTCACTATACCCATGCAATGATGAAATAACTCTAAATCCGCAATTACCATCCGGTTCAACATCCAGAATCTCTTGAATATATGACCTAATATGACTTGGAAATTGAATAGTGTATTATTGCTTTGATTGTGACTTCTTTTGTGATAGTTGAGATTGCTTATGTGATGGTTTAGATAGCCTCTGTGAAGATTGAGATGCTTATTCAACATACTTGTGTTGTAAAGGGTCCCTATAAACATCATACCCATCAGGTTTCTTCCCTTTCTTCTTAACTCCTCCCTTGGTTTTTATTTTCTCAAGTGGTGGACACAAGGAAGTTGTTGTTGGGTAAGGAAGTTTATAAACCTTAATTTTTAATGCTTTTTCCCCAACAACATCTAGTGATCTAAATCTTCTCTATAATTCTTTCATTGCACTACTCATGTCAACCTATGATCCATCTTCTACATCTTCCTACAACTCAACTTCCATACTTAGTTTCTTCCAATGAACATGAACACTGTCTATTGGTATCGGTATAACACCAATAATGTATCTCCCTAACTCACAAGCACAAGGTAACCCAATTTTCCATATGAGTACAACCACATTTCTGTATGACATTTCCAACATAATCAACCTTCGATAACTCTTCAACAATACATCTCAAAGCAGCTCTAGATTCAGAACCACACAGATTACCATAAAATAGACTTATGTGTGTGTACTGAAATTCATAAAAAAAATTTGAAACGAAGCACGAATGTTGCCTATTTGTAACTTCAGATTGTTGTTTATAGCTTCCCAATATTTGACCACGTCACCAAGACTATTTCATAACATCTGCTTTAACTTCTAATGTGCAGGCTCAACCCTAAAAATTAATGCATAATAAAATATAACATAGTAAAAATATTAAAAAATAAACATTCTAAAAATTAATGCATAACAAATCTATAACATAGTAAAAATACTACAAAAAACGACATACCGATTAGTCGCGGTGTTACCCAAATGAAGCACTTGATTAATCTATGCTCCAATAAATCTATGTCTATGTGGAGTCAACCATGTGTCTTTCACATAATCAATAAGTTCACTACAATCAAAACATACATGTTCAAGTTGGTGCAACCATTGACTATACTCAACCTCATCACTAGCCCATACAAGATCTGTCCATAATGTGTCTATCGTCTCTTGCATTTCTTTCACCGCATATTTCTTGCATCTCATCCCAACATTTTTGTTAATATAAAATTGACATAGCAAATTAATTATCGAAGGAAACACAACTTCAATTGCTTTCATCAAAGCAAGATCTATATCCGTCAAAATCATTTATGGACACAAATCTTTCTTCACAAACAGTTGCTTCAGCTTCTTCAAGACCCAACAAAAACTATTTGTCTGCTCAAACTCCATATAAGTAAATACAACAGAAAATGCCAACTCGTTCGATGTCATGCCAACAATTTCAAATAAAGATTGTCTATATTTATTTGTCTTATAAGTGATGTCCATAACTAATACAATAAGAAAAATATTCAGCAACTTAACCGAATCTGGATGCGCCTAAAAAGTATCTCTAACAACTTCTGAGCCATCTCTTTTTCTACTCCAATAAACATATCCTGCATCCTCTATAAGCTTAAGCAAATGTTGTATCTCACTTCTTGGACCTCTTACTCTTTTTCTATCACACTCTTCTGCTTATATATTCGTGTGATCTGAGTCACATTCTCAGGATCTCGCTCTTGCAAGGAAATTAATATTTTTTTAGGTGGAACATGTCTCTTTGTCAAATAAAAAACATATTGTTTATCATCTGCGATCAACCTACCAACAAACGCACGACCTTCAAGCCTATCAGGTAATCCATGATTATGAACTCCACATTTTACATCAACTTTCCATCCAGACCTATCTTTTGCCGGAGTCGACTTGATTTTAAATGGACATCCACATCTCTTAGTTGCACTTTTCTATCCTTGTATTTACCCCCTTTATCACACCTAAATATTATTTTGTTACTTCTTCTTCTCTTGCATGTTTCAGTGTCCGAACGCTTGATAATAACAATTACTTTATTTCTGATTCTAACCTCTTTAATCCAGCTTATAACCTCTTCTCGTGTATCAAATGTTTAAGCAGTGGAGAATACATCAGTTGTATCTACAAATGGCTCATTTTTTTGGTAAATTTGGAGCGAAGTTTCCATACATAAAAAATATATAAAAAAATTAAAAATGCGCACCAGATAACTTCATAGAAGTGTTCCGATTTAGATTCTAGGACACACTGGAAAAGTGTTCTGGTTAACATAACTTCGCACCGTAAGATATTTCAAAAATGTTCTAGTTCATATAAATTGTGTCCAAAATCGAAACACTTTGACAAACTCTTCCAAAACATTTTTTTTAAATATCAGATCACTTTATTCAACTGTTACGGTTTGGCATAATTCATACCAGAAAATTTTCTTAAAGTGTTCAGAAAAATGCCGTTGGGATGCAACTTTTTGATTAATTAGAAAAAGTGAAATAATAAAATAGTTAAAAACAATTAAAGGTAAGCTTGGCATTTTTGCAAATATATATATATATATATATATAAAGGTAGAGATAGAAAGTAAAATTTTTCTATCGTAAATGAATGTGTTTATAGTTTTTTTTCTTTCTCTTTTTTTAAAAAATAAATATATATTTTGATTAAAAAAATCACTCAAAAAATAATACTATGTGCTAATTTATTTTTATGAGGAAATATAGGTGACACTTGAGTCGAATCATAAGTGGTAATAGTTGCAAGGAAGTAAAAGAGATGGAGAAAGCGGTGAGAGCATACGCAGAGGTTCTGAGGCTTGTAAGGCGTTTACCAAAGGATTCAAGGGGTTATTATGCCAAATACGCACGCGAGAACTTCGTCAATTACCGTGAAGTCGATCCCTCTGATTCCACAACTCTCCATGATCTCTTTCAACGTACCTACACTCATTCCGTATGGGTCCTCCATAAGGTCCGTTCTTCATTTCACTTCCCTTCCATTTCTTCATTTCTGAATCTCAATCCATTTTCTAACACAATACAATGGATTCAACTGCAGTATTCAGTCCATGAATCTGCCGCTCATAAGTTGAAGCGGATATGTCGCGGTTAGTGTTGTGCCGCCCAACTGTTTGTTGTTTTTACCCACTCAACCCTTTTCTAATAATTTGCAGTTTGATTAATGTTTTCCTAATCATACAAAATCGGCATCTAAGTGAAGATTGTCTTCGTTTATTAAACATATATTCATGGTCATATCATATTATTGATGTATTCAAAATTTATAATAATCTCCAACATATTTCAAAATTTCAAAATCTTCGAAACTACGTAGTCAAATTATATGGTCTACGTCTAGTTTAATGAGTTAGTGTTATGAGTGTTCAAAATTGTTAGAGTATTTTGTTTGGGATTGGTTTGTGGGCTCTACTCTTGTTAGGCCCAACTCTTTCTTTTTTTGTTTTGACTCTATTCTTTATATTCTGCACCGTCACATTCTTTGAACTGAAAAATAATACAGTTACTCTTCTTTTTCTTTTCTCTAACAACCTTCGAGCTTCAATGATGAAATCTAAGATTCATCCTTAATAAAAATCAAACCAGTCCAATAGAAAACTGTAAAACTGAACCAAACTAAATCGAAACTGCAAAAAACTGTATTTGGTTCGGATGTGTTTGAGTCATTTTCTAACAGAACTGCGTGGTTCAGTTCGATTTGCGATTTGTATTTTACAAATCAAACCAAACCACACTATGTTATAAAATTTTACTAACTAATATATATTTCTTTAATTCTTCAAAGAAATCAACCTATACTGTATTATACTATATGTATATTTTATCATATTTTTTGTATGATATTTATTTTAATTTACAAATCATAAAAAATAAAATATTATTCATTTGTAAATACTATTTTCACAAAATATATTTTATCATATTTTTTATATAATATTTATTTAAGGATGTAATCTTATGTATATCATTATTTAGATTTAGATAAAATTATAATACATAATTTTATGTATTAAATTATAAATTTATTTTGACAATTATAAATTTTTTTATGGTAATATATGAGCGATTAAACACAAAATTATGTTTTTCTGTACATGTGTATGTATGGTTCAATAGTTTTTTTTTTGTAAATAATCGAATCAACCGAACTAATCCAAATCGTATTAATTTAGTTTGTTTTTATTTTTAAAAGTCAATCGAACCAAATTGAATCGCACATTTTTTTCTCTTACAATTCAAGTGATTTTTTATTTTAAAATTGTCCAAACTACACCGTAAATCTCGCAAACACCACAAACACCCTTAGTTAGTGTAGTCAACCTATATGAATCTGAAGACATTTTATGTGTGTTAGACAAACATTCACATTTTTACTGTTAACGCTGTTTGCACTAAGATCATGTGTGTGTTCGATCTTCACGAGTTCTCTAAAATTTGTGCCATGTCTCACGTAAGCTACATCAAGTGTTAGCTGCAAAGTCACACACCATCTATAAAAAAATATGAAAGCTAATTCATTTCTTACAGGGGGAATGTTCTTTCAATCCTTAAGGTGTGCATTATAACTCTAAAAACTATAAATTACTCATGTATCCGCGTGCACTTAAAATCACATAAACAAAGGTGTTACAAATGAAATATCTCTATTTTATTTATAAAAAAAAGTTTGGAAATACATCTGATGTCTATTTTATTTAAAGAAAATGTTCGGAAATACATCTATAAATTTCAGAGATGTATAAGGTAAAATACCAAGGAAAAGATGCAACATGACCACCATTGGAAAAATATGTTTGCCTGCAGACCTTTTGGAAGTGGTGGAGGATAATTGGCAAGAATAGGCCGTCTTCTTTAGTGTCACCGCGTTCCCCTGCATAAAACAAAACATCCTTTACACCAACAACAAGAAATATTGAATATAGATTTGTTTTTCACAAACAACATCCTTTATAAATATTTCATAATTGACAAAAACTAGAATTTATTTTCCAATTTCTGTTTTCTTTATGTCACTTATTTACATTACATTTTAAATATTTATGTAGAGCTCTCTTTAATCCTAATCAATGTGATATAAAAGTAATTTAAAAGTTAGGTATTTTTGAAAAAATTCCGAAGCACAAATTGAAAAGAGGTCAAACCGGGGGAAAAAAATCACAATTCAGATAATATGGCCCTCACATGTAATTGACTATCTTAATTTTTAAGGTGAAATGTTGTTTAGAGGTGGGAACACTTGAAATTCAGAGATGCATTATCCAATATTTTTTAAAATAAAATAATAGTATCTTACTTACAATACCTTTAAAATAAAATAATAGTATCTTACTTACGATACCTTAAATGTGTTTAAAAATATATCTTTTGTTATTATGGATAGTTGTAATTCTTCACGAGAGTACCGCGAAAGATGAAAAAATAATCCCTTTTTATAATCCTAGTGAAGCGGCTAAAAGTTATTCGATTGAATTGTAGAAAATAGACGGTAAACATTAGTTTTAGTGTTAGAATTAATTAGTGGTATGTTTCTTTTATAGGATCTCCTATCACAAAAATTGTATTCATAGCACTTGTTAATTTCTATGCCTCGTTCTTGTAGATTTTACATAAATCTATTTCTTTACAAACTACATTACGTTGCTATTTTTTTAGATGACAAAATTAATCTCATTTATTGTTCTAGAAAATACACATAAATATTTGTATCAAATTATTTTGATTAAATTTATTGGAGATATATGAGAATATAATAATGTAGGCACAAATATATACTAGCTTAGGTGGTTAGAAGGATAATATTTAGATAGGTAGTGTAACAAATTCATGTATGGTAGATTGTCTATATAAGCTTCATGCATAATCCATATTGAAGTTAAAGAAGAAGATGAACAAAGTTCTCTCACTTTAACATGGTATAATTACTTTAGAGACCTAGTTTTCACTCCTGTTTCTATATTCTTCTTCTTTTTCTTTCTTGATCCATTTCACTGCAAACATTGAGGATGCACCATATGTGTGCATGCAGTGAACCAGTGGTGCGTATAAGTTTCAGAGAAGCTTCTCTATTATTGTGATATCAACTCTCCAAGCAAAGCTTCGAAGAGGTTCTCATGGAGGATTAAGAAAGCAACATGGAAGATGCAAACAATATGCCACGATTTTCGCAAGCTACAACTTCAACAATGGTGCATTCAAGCTCAGAAAACATGTTTGCACCGAAACTCTTGATCAAATTTCAAGAAAACAATTTTCTCCTTTAGAATCAACAAGTAGAAGGAGTGATCTTATCGCACAAACTCCATATGGTGGTTTTGAATCCAAAAATTTCAGTCATGTTCAAAACTGATGATAATCGATGATCTAACATCGTTTATGAAGAATATGAATCTTGGATCGTACATAACCAAGCTTACTTCACATGGCTGCTTTCCACGATTTCTGAAGTTGTGCTTCCTAGGGTGCTTGCATGTAAGCATGCATGTGAGATATGAAACAAGGTACACAAGCACTTCTGCGCCCAAATGAAGGCCAACGTTCGCCAATTACGTGTTGAATTGTGAATGATCAAGAAAGGTAACAAAACAATATCTGAATATGTGCTTCGCATTAGAGCTATTGCAGTTTTGTTGCTTGCAACTGGTGATCCAATACTCAAAATAGATCAAGTGGGCGATATTCTTCAAGGATTGCTTGAAGAATACAATCCTTTCATCATGATGACCTATGGGAAAACTGAATTGTCTGATATCTATGAGGTTCAGGCGTTACTCTATGTGCAAGAAGTTCAAATGGATATGTATCAACAAGAAATCACGACTCCAAGTTCCACAGTTAATGTAGCAAATGCGGGAAAAATCAACATTTATGCTAAAATTGGAAATGGTCATGGATACTCCCAGTATCAAAGAGGTCGTGGTCGTGGTTTCAGAGCCAAATTGCTCTTTTTGACCCAAACTAGTTAAACACCATTAAAACTGAGTTACAATCCCTGGTAGCCAAAAAACATTGACCTTAACCATACTACCACCTCAGAGAAAAGCCATAGGGTGTAAGTGGATATTCAAACTCAAAGAAAATCCTGATGGAACAATTAACAAGCGCAAAGCCCGACTAGTTGCCAGGGGGTTTCACCAACAAGAAGGGTTCGACTATCATGAAACTTTCTCCTTGATTGTCAAACCTACAACAATCAGGATTATTCTCACACTTGTTGTGACATACATGTGGGATATCCAACAAATTGACATCAGTAACACATTTATGACTGGGGAACTGTATGATGAAGTCTACATGCAACAGTCACCTAACTTTCAAGATCATGATCCATCACTTGTGTGGAAACTGCAAAAGCAATCTTTGGCCTTAAACAAGCTCCGCGTGTATGGTATAATAAATTGTATCAAGCATTAGTGCAATTTGGTTTTCTTGCTAGTCGTTGTGATCATTCTTTGTTCACCTATCACCAAAGGTACTATATTATATGTGTTGGTGTATGTTGATGACATACTAATCACATGCACATAGTCTAAACTGATTCACAAGCTCATAACAAACCTACATCATCAATATGCGCTCAAAAAGTTGGGTATGCCAAAGTACTTTTTAGGGCTTAAGGTACATAATCAACCAGGTGGAGTTATGATACTTACACATACCAAGTACGTAAGAGATCCTTTTGCTAAAGTTAATATTCTGGTCTGGCCCAATGGCTAAGCATGTCGCAATCCACTTCTGCACCCAGAATGACTCAACAAGCCCTGGCCTAATCAGTTGGGATAAGCAAAGGACCTCCTGCCCTTTAGCCAGGGACGCTTGGTCAGTTGACCCCCAAGGCCAACAGGACCAATGGCTCCCCAGTCGCGCCTCTGCCATGTCAACAGGCTAGTCCCCACTCTTTCGTCAGACAAGGACAACCGCTCAGGAACTATCAGGACACGTTTGCTCGTGAACTTCCTCCTGCTCGAAATAACGGCTAGTTACGAGCATACCTGCCCGTCATAACAGCTAGTTGTGATCATCTATTCCCGTTACAATGACTAGTTGCTGAAAGTTACCTATTTTAAGGAACCTAATATCTAGGCCCAAAAATAAGAATCAATAGCCAAGCGTCGGGGGCATTATATAAACCCTCACACTTGTGAGGGACATGCATTCAATATTCATTACATACTTCTAAAACCTAAGACTTTTCAATGTTGTATCTCTTGGCACTTTTTCTTACTTGAGCATCAGAGTGCCTTGCAGGTACACTCTCTCCTATTCATCATCATCATCCACAACAGACGAAGTTTTCGGCCCTCTCAGGTTCTGATCAACCGGCAAGATCAGTGACGCCGTTTGTGGGAAATTGTTTTCCCCATCTTTCTTTCCTCGGAAACTGAAAGATAAAAGCAACTTCACCAGATTTCAATCATGGTCGATCACTATGATAACCATTTCTGTACAATCATCTCCCCCGTTGAGAAGAATGACAACATTGATAGATGCCCTCCACTCGAGGACATCCCCATTAAAAAAGAAGGTTGCACGACGTCTCCCTCTTTCGTCGAAGATGACGACGAAGATATACACTTCTTGGGGATTGGCAAGCCCAAGAAAAATCCAAGAAGAGTTTCCCGCAGTTCTCTAGCCAATCTTAGTACCGACAAACGTTGACCATACCATAGCAACTCTGCTAGCTGCCTTAAATCAAACAAATACCATGATCCTTCATTAGAACAACAAGATCAAAGCGCTCGAGAAGTTTCAGTCAAGGTATCCTCCTCGGAGGCATATATGGCGCATATCGAGCAGTTTCTCCCCGTAACCCCTTGGTCGAAGACCAGTTCAAGGGAAGCCAGAGGCTGCGCTCGACAAAAAAATCCATCACTATCCACCTCGCAGAGACCATCGCTCCCTGGTTATAAAGAAAACTTGAGCAAGATCTCACTCAAGAGTCCACCACTTTCCTCTACCGAAGCCAAAGAAGCCCATCTCCCCGGAGATTCGATAGTCCTCGTCGAGGAAGGAATTACTTTCCACCTCGATCAAAGAGCTAGAGCGACAACAACGACCCCGTGGTTTATTTTCCCGAGAAATTATGGAAACACAAATCTCGTCTCAGCTAGAGAATCCCTACAACCCGAGGACATATGATGTCACAACTGACCCTGACGACCACCTCGAAAATATCGATGCTCTGCTCGATTGTCAAGGAGTCAAAGGCGCAATAAAATGCAGTTGTTTCCCACCACTCTCAGGAAATGGGCTATGGCGTGGTACAAGAGCATGCCCAATAAATCCATCACATCCTGGAGGAACCTCAGACATCAGTTCTCAAGGAATTTCACGGATTCTTGTCGAGATCCGAAGTCCTAAGCCTCTTGAAGCAATCATCCAAGGGAAAGATGAGCCCCTACGGGCATATATTGAAATGTTCAATCGTAAGGTCGTCCAGGTCTAAACTATCGACGATATGAAGAAATACCTGCTCGAGCACGGGCTGCGCCTATGTAATGACTTCGTCAAAGTTGTTGGCATTGAAATCCATACTTCCCTGGATACCCTGATCCTCAAGGCCCAAGCGTACATCCAGTACGAGGAGAAGGAAGCAACCAACTTTCCCCGAGACTCGAGGCATCAGGAGAATGCCAAGGGTTCAAAGCATGAAGACCCCTCGACATCTCGTCGGGGAGGAGGGAAGAGGAGGGAAGATAAGCCCCGTGAATCATGGGAATATAAGGCCCCCCTGGTCGATTTAAAGACTACACTCCCCTTACCACCGCTCATGAGCGCATCCTAACCGATTGCACCAACTCTGAATTTCGCCAGGCCGGAGCTAGGTTTCCTCGGTAAACCCCGTCCAAGCCTGGAACGGATAAAACAAAATAATGCAGGTTCTACAAGAGCCACATGCACACTACTGAAGACTGCATCCACCTGAAGGATGCCATCGAGATCCTCATTCGGGATGGGCATCTCGCACAATACAAGAAGAATGACGCTCCTCGTGAGGATCCTCTTGAGTCAAAGAAGGTCGAGGAGGAGAAACCCTCCGCCGATGCCACCAACTTAGAGGTCGTGATGTGCATCTCGTGAGGACTTATATATCTCTGACACTGACGCCATACCACTCGACTTCGCGATGCATAGCCCCTGGGAGACCTTCCCCTCTGCCCTGGTCATTTTAGGTGGAGGATTCAACAAGCTGACTGTGGGGTCAGTAAAAAAAGTTCGAACAACTCAAGACGCTAGTTCAAACCAGAGCACCACCCTCAACAATTTCAAGGAAGCTCTATTTTGATCTCCTTTTACAGAGAAGAATTGTTCGTAGGGGCCCCCAACTCGAACATCCCTCTGCTCGTAAGGGCCCATATGACGAACTTCAACGTAAAGCGTATCCTGGTTGACCTGGGAAGCTCGGTCAACATCATGTACTCACATCTCTTTTCCACCCTCTAGCTCAACGAGTCGCATCTTACACCCTATGTAGGATCAGACTTACAGGGCTTCAATAGTGGTTACAAAACCCATGGGGTATGTCGAGCTAATTGTGACTGTTGGGACTGCAGAGACGACCAGATCCATCAATGCCTAGTTTTTGGTCATCGACTGTCTGTATTTGTACCAATGCATCTTAGAGAGGCCTACTATGGCCGAACTAATAGCGGTGCCCTTCACTGTGTACCTCAAGATGAAGTACTACACCCCCAAGGGGATGGTCGTAACCTTTCACGGGGACATTGAAGCTGTCAGAAGATGTTTCGAGGTGGCCACCAAGGGTCTGAATTCCATCAATGCTCCTCCCAAGGCAATCGGTAAACCTCTCTGTCCAAGCAGCTCCGAGGAGCCGAAACCGCTATAACGCATCGATTAAATCGACCTCAACAGTTGTTTCTCCCAGGAAGACATGCGTGACCAACGATGAAAGGGGAAGGAGATACTACAAGCAAACATCTCCTTGACATCATCCGACAACAGCAAAAGTTCCTCTCGTCATCCACGACCAATTCCAAATTGGGAGTTCGAGCTCATTCCATTCGGGGAGGACCCCAGCAAAGCGGTGAAGATTAACACAGGTATGCCCGAGTTAGCGAGGAAGCAACTAAAAGCATGCTTAAGAGAGAACGCATACCTCTTTGCACGGAGCGTGTCAGAGATGCCCAAAATCAACCTGGAGATAGCTTGCAATCACCTTACTATAGATTCTTCCCTTAAGGTCGTAACTCAGTGTAGGCGGAAGTAGTCTCTGGAGAAAACGGAGGCTGCCGAGCAGGCTGTAAAAGACTTCCTAGAGGAAAGTGAGGCCGAGTACACAACCTGACTATCCAATGTAGTTCTTATGAAAAATCTAATGGAAAATGGCGCATGTGTATCGACTACTCCGATCTCAATAGGGCTTGCTCCAAAGACACATATCCCCTGCCAACATTGTGTTGTAACTGGTTTTAAAACGAGAGTTGCCACCCTTAATTTTTATCTTAAGGAAGGGAATATAAAGGATAACCCTAAAAAAGTTAAAGATTCTAGGTTTTTGGACTCGGTCTTAGACGAAGGGAAGGTGTTAGGCACCCCTCATCTACCTTGTTCACAAGGATACTAGGGTTATAATAATATATTAAGAAATAAGGTTTTAATTTTTATTAGGGGAACTCGCCACGATTTTAGTCATATGCCTACGTATCCTCTTAGAAGGAATCGGAGTCCCAATTCGTAGTTCGCAGTTGGTTGGTGTTTTTTTATGGATTTGCATATAATTGATTTCGAATTATCCTTGAATCTTGTTTGGGTTGAAAATTTTGTGAGCGTAGACGTAGTTCGTAGTTAATTTCGAAAGAAATTCTCCTTAATCATTTTTCAAAAACATCTTGAGTTTTTGTTAAGTTAGTAGAAAAATGGTTTGTAATTGATTAGCTGTATTAAGACGTAAAGCGGGGGAGTCTGATATAGTCTCCTCGCCATATGACCAGATATTGGCCACATGTCGCTCGCGGATGAAGTATTTGGTGTGTTGCGTAGATTTTAATTGTTTGATTTTTGAATAATAAACCGATAGACGATGTGTCGACCGATTTTTTACTCAAAGATGGACATCCTATTATTCGTGAAAATGTTGAATTAATTTAGTTTATGAAAGAGGTGTAGAAATTAGAGTTAGGGTGGTGTACAAAGAAATATAGGCCCAAAGCAATTTTGAATCCAAAAAGGTATTAGGTAGTAATTCTAAGGGGTGTAAATAATAAAGAGGAAGCCCAACCCAACTAAGATTAAAACCCTAATTCTAATTAAATAAAAAATGAACAATAAATGAGAAAAATGGAAAAGGTTGAAGTAACATCATGTTGTTACGGTTATACTTATACCAAAACAAAATGAACATTAAAATAATTTGTAATATTGATTTTTCAAAATTAACACTCATACCATAGAAATTGAGACATGTGGCTTCTAATAATATAAAAAAAAATTAACAAATGAATTAAATTATAGAAAAATAAAACAAACACAATAATATTTGTTTCTCTCTTTCCTTCGTGATATCCACAGAACAACAACAAACAACTCATTCTCTTCTTTTACTAAGGATAGCAACAACAACCAAAATCCCATGAAATTATTCATAATTTTTTATGACAAAAACAAAACATGCTCAGATCAAAACATCAAGAAGTATGTCTATCTTGGTTTCATCGGCGATGGCCGAGGGTGTGCTCGTGGGCGGATCTGACACGGCTCTCAGTGGCGGTCGCAGGAGATGTCGTCGTCGGATCTGAAAGGGGGAGGAGCTTCGTCGGTGGTTGTTTACGATGATTTGAACGACTGTTTTGCGTGGCGGATCGGAAAAGGTTCTGATGGCAGAGATCGATTGGAGTCGAGGCGATTGAGCGATTCGGTTTCTGGATCTTGCTTTTCTTTTATTTTTTCTGCAAAACAAAAAAACAAATAGAGCAGTAATTATGGTATTTTTTGAATTCCAATTTTCATGTTGCAGTGAGTTTTAAATTGGCCAATGTTGTATAGTTAGATATTGGTTTGTTAGTTTACAGACGTTATTTCAAAATAGAGGTAATGATTTATGATTAAAAAGTTAGTGAACACTTAGTTTCCCATATGAATATTTTATGGTTTTGTGGAGAAGCAAGGAAACAAAAGTGTAGATATTTGGTATTTGATTTTCATTCGTGACAAAGGAATTATGTATGCACCGTGTTGTTTATATAGTATGTGAAAAAATTGAAATTCTTTTAGTAAATTAAATCAAAACTATAATAAAAAGATTTTCTATAACAATTTTAAAATTAATTCACAAAAGAGTTAATTTCTATATTTTATTCATAAAAAAACACGAGGATTGTTGATTTGGAAACAAGATGAGATTTTGGTCAAAAGATTGGTTGACTAATGTCAAAAAATATGTACACAATATGTATAGTATTTTGTGGTAATATATGGTTTAATAAGTGTAAAAATAATTATTAAGGGTTTTCTAATGCATAAAGTATGTCGTAAAAAATGTTATTACAATAAGAAATATAATAAATCAAAACATCATCAGTTTGATATCATATGATTAAAGATAAAGAATTGGAGATAAAAGATAATGACCTCATATTAAATCATCGGCTAAGAATAAAAACCATAAATGAAAAGAAATTGCAAAACAAGAAGTGTATGTGAGTGAATGAAATTGTAAAAATTATGGATATTGTGGATGAGTTTTTAGGACAAATAAGAGTCATATTTATAGACTTGAATTAGGTTAGAAAAAACTTAGAGACTAAGTTATCCAAAATGTATGAAAAACTCAAGCTCGATTTCTAAAAAAGGAAAGAAAATTAGTAATAAAAGAAATAGAAAAAATGTTAAAAAGTGCACCATAAGAGATTCAAACCCTCAACCTCATATTTGCAAGCTTTATTCTTTACCAATTATGCTATGTTACTTATTTGTAAATAAATTTTATTGAAAGTATATGAAAGGTGTGAAAATATTTGCTATTTTAAAAATACAAATAATTTGAAATAAATTATTATATTTTTAACTGGACTTGAGAATGAATATTTATAAAATCCCAAAATACTAATGTAAATCAAAAGAATTTTATAAAAATCCAAGTTTGAAATTAATTTCGAATGTAGTGATAAATGGCAGACAAATTTGGGGTATGGCACATTGATAAATTAGTTGATAATTCTGCATGTTTTACACTTTTATCCTTAATGGATGCATATTTTGGTTACAACCAGATCCCCATGACAAAGTGTGACAAAAAGTACACGGCTTTCATGATCGAGTCGGATAATTATTACTACAATGTAATGCCCTTCAAACTGAAAAACGTTAGCACTACCTACCAAAGGATGACAAACAGAGTCTTCCAAGGAGAGATAGGAAACATGCTCTTGGTCTACATGGATGAAATGATCGTAAAGTCTCAAAAAGAGTTTGATCATACACTCCACCTGAAAAGGGTCTTCGACCAGGAGAGGAAGTGCAAGGTACGCTTCACCTTCGGCGTTCGAGAAGGAAAGTTCCCCGGTTTCTACTTGACAGAACGAGGAATCGAAGCCAACCCCTACAAATTCAAAGAATTATCCGAGTTATCGACGCTTAGCTCGAAGAAATCTATCCAATCTCTAAACAAAATGCTGACCTCGTTGTCCCGTTTCGTGGAAAAATGTTTCCAGCACGCACTCCCTTTTCTTCAAACTCCTTCGCAAAGAGGCATCCTTCGAGTGGAATGAGGAGTGTGAAAGAGCCCTCGACCACCTCATGCAAGCCCTCTCCCAACCACTGGTCCTCTCACGACCAGATAACAGGGAAATCCCCTACCTATACCTCGCCATGGCCACCGAGGCCGTCAGCGCCGCCCTCATCCGAGATACCATTGACGGTCAGAGGCCCATATACTTTACGAGCAAGGCCTTACAAGGCCCTGAACTCAGGTATCAGCAGATCGAGAAAGTGGCCCTGACCCTGATCAATGAAGCAAGAAGATTAAGGCATTACTTCTTGGCCCACACAATTGTGGTACGAACAGATCAGCTCGTGAAGCAACTGCTAGAACGCCCGGACATGGCGGTCATAATGCTCAAATAGTCGTTAGAACTATCTGAATTCGACATCCAGTAGAAGAGCATAAAGGCCCTTAAAGCTCAAGCATTGGCCGACTTCGTGGCAGAGATGACTCCACCCACGACCCTAACATCTGGGGTATGCAGGTGAACCATATTCGTAGATGGAGCATCCAGCTCGACAGGGAGTGGGGCAGGTATCATCCTTGAAAATGAGGAAGGCATCCTGGTCGAATTCTCATTCACCTTGTCTTTTCCCATATCTAATAACCAGGCAGGATATAAAGCTTTCCTCGCTGGATTATGATTAGCCGAGGATTTGGGTGCCGAGGAAGTTAAGATCTTCACTAACTCCTAGCTTGTTGCATCCCAAGTTCGGGGGAGTATCAGGTCAAGAGTGACAATATCTCTGAATACCTAACCTTAGTATGCTAAATAATAACACAATTCGAGTCCATGGAAGTTCTACACGTTCCCTGTGAGCATAACACTCGAGCAGAAATTTTGTCTAAACTTGCGAGCATGAAAAAGAAAGAGGGCAACAAATCTGTAATTCAAGAAATACTCCCTCGACCAAGCATCGAAGAAATCTCTCAAATGTTAGACATAAACGCCATCAGCGATAGCAACTGTTGGATGACCCTGGTATATAACTACCTCACAAATGGGGAATTACCATCCTACCAGAAATAGGCCAACATGGTCAGGCGAAGAGCCTGCTTGTATGTCTTGGTCAAAAATAAACTATATCGACGGGGATTCTCCACCCCCCTTCTCAAGTGTGTCGAGGAGACCAGATTCGCCTATGTCCGGCAAGAAATGCATGAGGGAATCAACGCCCAGCATCTCGGAGGAAGATCCCTCACGAGGAAATCCCTACAGATGGGATACTACTGGCCTACGATGTAGCACGGCGCGAAGGAACGTGTGAAAAGATGTGACAAATGCGAGCAGCACAAAGACATGCATTTGGAACCTCCCAACGATCTCAAGTCTCTTTCATCTCCATGGCCCTTTGCATGGTGGAGACTAGACATCCTTAAACCTATTGTCGTCGGCTCCAACCAAAACAAATACTTAATAGTGGACGTGGACTATTTCATAAAGTGGATAGAAGTTGAGGCCTTGGCCAAAATCACCGTGCAGAACATACTTCGTTTCAAATGAAATATACTCGCTTGATTCAGCATATCACAAGCAATTGTTACCAACAACGGGAGACAATTTACAAACAAGAATTTACAAGAGTTCATTGCCAAGATAGGCAGAGGCAGGCAGGCAGCGAACAGAGTTATCATGTGAGGCCTCAAATGAAGGCTCGACGAAACCAAGAAAAAATGGGTTGAGGAGCTACACAATATACTCTGGGGATACCAAAAAACTCCTCACTCGTCTATCGAGGAAACTCCGTTTCGACTAGCTTACGGGGCTGAGGCTATCATCCCAATCGAGATAAGAGAGCCATCTCTACAAACAGAGGCACCTCTCGACGAAGAAATGAACGACGAAGCGCTCAAAGAGGAACTCGGCCTTGTCGAAGAGGTTCAATTGGGGGAAGCCCTCCGAGAAGCCTCATTAAAACAAAAGATCGCCCTCCTTCATAACGCCAAGGTCATTCGACGAGAGTTTGAAGTTGGTAGTCTGGTCCTGAGGAGAAACCACTAGGATTCTTGCATAGGAAAGATAGCTGCAAACTAGGAAGGTCTCTATTGCGTCCGAGCAAAAATAGGGAATGGGGCCTACTACCTCGAAAATTTTCAAGGGAAAGAATTTGCTCGACCAAGGAATGCCGAAAAGCTAAAGCAACATTACAGATGGAAATCAAAGGGTCAACATGTTCCTGCAGACAACAAACAAAACACTCTCAACCATATGTGTGTGCTTGGGTATAAGCATGGCATCACAGACTCATACAAAGAGGTGAGTTTCCGCTCTTTAACGAGCAGTTCCTCAAACCAACGGGGATAACTCAAACGAGTTCCTTCGTCGATGTACCAAGAAGGCGAAACACCTAGACCCCGATGGGAAGTTCACTCCATCGAGTTCGAGTCTCAAACAACGGGATTCGAACTCATACATTGCCGAGAAAGACAACCCCAACCATTTGACAGTTCCCCACACTAGTGAACATTAATCCTGTCGAGCAAACCCCTGAACATGCTTGGTAAAACACTTAGTAAAATTTACGAAATAAACATCCCAAGCGGATGAGGACATAAATGTGCAAAGCTTCACAAAGTAAAATCATGCACAAACAAGCGTGAAAATAAACAAAGTTAAAACAACGACCACGAGGGCCGTAATTGTTAAGATATTACATAAAAGGGGCCAAGCCCCCATCAAAAGTGTACGATCAGGTGGCCACGAGGACCAAAATTGTTTGAAAATTACATCACCGGGAAAATCCCCCTAAACAAACATTACAAATACACGGCACGCATGTGGGTCAAAATAACGAAAACCTAATCAGTAGAAGGCAACGATTCTTCCAAGTTGTGTTGCTCGCCTCCGACATCCTCTTCATCGATATCAAGGAACCCAGGGACGACAATCCACCCATCTTTCACATTATAAAGAAACCCGGTTTTGGCAACATTGAGCTCAACCTCAGGATTCAAAATCTTGAGAAGATCGATCGCATTATTGAATCTTTCCTCGCTGATCGCCACAAGGTCTTTCTCGGCAACCCGGAGGCGGGAAACCAGTCCGCCTGGGTTCTCAGCTTCCTTAGCTCCTCGCTTTCACCCTCTGTTATGGTTACTTCAACTTATTTATCTCCTCGGCTTGGGAAGTCACCAACTCTTTTTGCTTCTCTGACTCCTCTTTCAACTTGGTCACCTTCTCCTCGAGAGCCACATTGGTCGCCTAGACGCCATTTACCTCCCGAACAGTAGGGGTCTCCTTTTCAGTGTGAATCACCGCCATCTCTAAAATCCTCATTAAACCATCGACATCCTAGGCAAGAGTCTTCCTCTTACTCGTCTGATCGATGTCCTCTAAATGTAGAGACTCAGCCCGTGGCACCTCCAGAGAGGGACCCCCCTCAAAATAACCCTGATGCATACAACAAGGGGGAAACTCAAATTTATACAGAGACCTATTCCCATTTAGGTCAACAGGTTTGCTCCCCGTGAAATGATGCTTCTGGGCTGAGACCACCTACTGGGGAAATTTTTCCCGTCCGGAGGAGTAGAAGAAGAAGTTCCAGATCCAGTGTGAGGAGGAAGCAGAGCATTTCCCAAGAAACTTTTCTGATTCAGAGTTCTCTTTTGCTATTTCACTTTGTTAGCATCAACTATCTTGACCATGCGCTCCTGGGCGTTTGGCATTGCACCTGCAAACAAATAACGAACAAAGATCAGCAAAACACAAAGAGGAAAAAAAAGGCAAAATCAACAATGTGGAAAGCTACATAAGAATGCTAAGGCACCCTCGTGAGTGGCACAATCGAGGATACCCTTCGTATTGATGAGGCGAGCCGTGAGCACATGCTCCAACTTCTCATCAAGAACGATCTCCCCTCACTTGTTTATACA